TTTTTTTTGCAGCAATCAGCTGTGATTCACAGAAAGGCGACCCAGAACGATCGCATTATTCATAGTATTAATATCGATCCACTTAGTTCTGAAGATAGCGGTGTATACACTTGTAGTTGGTATTTTGATTCTGTTCTGAATCAGACGATCACTAAGGATGTGGACGTATCGCCAAAGAAAGGACAAATCAAGGTTAGACTTGTGAAATTACTTGTTGATATGGTAGGTTGAAGGCACAGTTCACAAATGGTTTCTGAAATTGCCCTAGGATGAACCTATGGCGCTCGAGGTTTGTACGTGGGACATAGTCGCGTCAAATAACGGCCTGGGCAAAACGTTGTTATAAGGGCTGCAAATCCGGCTTGGCTGACATGCACACCCACAAGTGGCCGTGTTATAAAAGCCTTTTCAAGGCTACACCATTCACAATGAAGTGCTGGGATGCCGACGAATAGTACGCTTATGTTAGAGAGACTCAGGCGGTTAGAGACACAAAATATCGTGCAACCCCCTTTCTTTCTACTCTTTGAAGGCTTCCATTTCCTGAAATCCGCCGAATTTCGCGTTATCTTCGTCATTTTTGCATTATTCCGAGTTGTAATTTCCATTTTTCACTTTAGTACTTTAAAATTACTGTGAACTGTGCCTGAAGTGAAATAGTACTTTCCGAAGTCTTCTACCAGTCATTGAGCAATCCTGCATCTGACATGGTTAGGAATCGTTTTATATCGTTGAAATTTCAATTCAGGTCTTGAAAAGAACGCCCCAAGAAGTAAACGTCAGGGAGGGCAACTCAATCAATCTATCAGCTGAATTGGCAGTATTCCCCAACGATTTCCCCGGTTTCAACGCTAAATGGATTCGGGTAGGGATTACCTTTTGTTTACCTGCCGCTTATCGATCGTTACTGTTACAGTCACAGTGTATATTGTAGAAATCTATCAAACCGCCGAAAACAGTAAATGAAACGGAAAATCTTGTCAGCGATAATGATCATGTAATAAGTAGTGAAAAGATAGATGAAGGGCGAGTGAATGAACGAATTACCATCAAGAACGCTGCAACGGAAATGAGCGGAATGTAAGTTCCAGAATTTTCCTAATTTACATTGTTTCAGATAATTTTCCCATTTACTCCTTCTATTGAATCATATCCCTTATTTCCCCGTTTCAGCTACGTTCTGACTATCGAACTGCTCGACACTGTTCGGACTATAGAGTGGAAGGTATAGTGCTTTGACAATTTCTTGTCCATAATTTTTTCAGAATTTCCGGTTTCCGATTTCCGTTTTTCGGTCAAAAGATTATTGTCTAGGTGAATGTGCAAAATGAGCGTATTAGCGCTCGAATCGACATAATGGCTCCGAA